AGTCAATTGCCTCTTCTCTGAGTTGTTCTCAGGTAGGAACTTGAAGCCGTAACATGTCATATCATGACCTCCTGAGAGCCTCCGATCCTAGATCTGAGTAGAAAGACTCATTGGGAGGACGGGTGATAATGACTGTGTGAAGGAGACCCGTTCACCACGCCAAGGTACAACAAAAGGTTGGAGGGGAGAGAGAGAGCAATTGGGGAGAATAACTTCCAAACAATTATAATGGAGGGGTAATGCACTCTTTAGTGGGACACCACATAAAAATTGAGTACACCTATTACCTGCACGACAGAAAACGCAGGACTGTGGACCTTCATCTCATTAGTGAGTTCAGTTAAGGAGACAAGAAGAACGGTCTGTGCGTGTGAATGAGGTGAGACCGCACCCAACTAAAGCAGAGTAAGAAAAATCGAGTCATTCCCGAAGCTGGGTCCAGTCAAAAACACGGCGAGATTGGCGATCCAGAAATAACCAAGATAACTAGTGATCGGCTAATAATCAGCAGTCAGTAGTATTCAGATGTGCAGTCGACAACAGTTTAAACAGTGAGCAAACAGTAACCGGACAGTTGTCAAACACCATACAGTTGGTATTCAAACTACCTCGTGCTCGAGGGTGGCTATTGGTGAACACTGTTGTATGATCCGAATGTAAAAGAAGGGAGACATGAAGGACGATGAGATCCTATCAGTAAAGAGCATGCTAATCAGAGAAAAGAGAGAGGGATGGGAGGAATGAGCTTGCCGAGATATGGAATTTAACAGGGAACTTCAGCGTGAGCACGCGGTTCAGAGGGTGAGGGGTGAGAAGTATATCGAATACATAATTTATTTCTATGGATTCAACGGCAAGTTGCACAGTACTAGTTCCGCACTTGAGACAGTAGAACAGGCCAGGGCAAGGCTCTCGTGAGCCTGGTTACTCCAATGGCACGACTCTCTGAAACAACACTCGGAGCAGTTTTCTAGTACTTGGTGCAGTTTTCAACGCCCAGAGCGATAATCTGCTCGCAGAACAGTGATCAGGGCTCATAATTAAAATCAGTGAATTCCATACAAGATCAGCGAGCGCAGAACAGACCCAGGGAACTTGAGGCAGACTTAGTGGGCTTCGTGCAGAGCCAATAACCTCGGCAGCATCCAGTCATCAGGTCAATAATCTCAACGGTACTCTGTTTTCTCAGTCAAGTAGTAATTAACAAGTAACCTTTTCAGTCCTTGACCTGCAGTTAGCCAGCAACTAACCAACATTTATTCAAGCATTTGGTTGGCAGTCTCAACAACATTCTCATCAGAATAGCAATCGTCAGATCAACAGTCGGCTCTGCAACCGTTCAGTCTCCTAATCAGCATCAAGATGCAACACTCAGAAAACAACAACTAGTTATCAACAAACGGCTTCCAGCAGCTCAGCAATTAACCCCATAGTTTTTTCATTCTCAGATCATCCAAGAGTCACCCGTCACGAGTTAAGAGGACTGATGTTGTGAAATTTCGGTGAGAGTATGGATAGACGCAACACAATTAGAATCTCCTGCTCGCTGTATCAGAGTGCTGAAGAGGATTGGATGGAGAGTGCGACTGAGGAGTATAATCAGCAGACTATTATGATGATGGAACACGCGCTGGCTCTCGCGAGAAATCATACTAAAGTCGACTACACATATTATTTGCACGACAAGAATGGGAGACTTCGTGCCACCATAACTTTTGTGTGCACTATTGAGGAAGCAAGGAGGATTGTTAGAGGCCACCAGTGAGCATTGAACAAGGGCGACTCACCTACCTGGATGCTCAACAATTAGTCATCAGTGATCATTTAATCAGCGATCAGTCATTAGCATTCAACTAATCAGCAGTCTATTATCAGCAATCAGTTATTGACAATCAGTCCCCTGCGGCCAGCTTGGTAATCAGTTTTCAGGAATCGTCTGACCAATTCGTACGGGCAAGAGTACTCATGAGTACAGTTCAGTCTACTCAGGTGAGTGAGTCAGTGCTGACCAGTCTCAATCGGATTTCATGCAAAGAGGCATTCCATTATCAGTATGTTAGTGCCATCGGTTTCAGACAGGGAGATCTGTCAATCTTCATTGTCCAGACCAGTTTTGCTGATGGCACTATCCACGATCTGAGGCCTTACCTGAAGAAGGGCAAGGAGACTCATGAGCTTTTTGATCCAGTCTGGATCTCAGCTACTGAGTACCTTGAGCAGAGAGAGAGAGAGCTCGATGAGRRTGRCACTACGCTGATCCGCAGCTTCGGGCCTATGCTCTATACTGACTATCATAGGCCTCCAGTCCCTTCTCTTCTCACAGATGACACGAGTTGGTTGGATGTGATCAAATTGGCAAAGAGGTACATCTCTCCAGCGGTGATCGACATTGAGGCGTTGACTGAGCCCACTGAGTATCCTTACCTCAGACGAGGGGTATTTTCAGTGGACGAGCTGCCTACCTTGTGGGAGGAGTTTTGCTCTATGGTTAACTACCGTGTTATGTTCCTCGGATGGTCGTGTTCAGAGCTTGCTGGCTACAGGTGGCATTTTGTCACAAAGCCTCAGTCTCAGATTGTAAGTGGGCGTGGGTCTCGACACCAGAGAAGATCAGTGAAAAGAGATTGAGAGAGACTAACCAGAGAGATGAGTGAGGACTCTTGAGGGGTGTTGACCATGCCCGCTTACATGTACTTTCTGAGATTATTATGAGTTCTCATTCTTCCCTCATTCAATTGCCCCTATCTTTGCTCGAGTCATCCAGTCTTATTTTCTGCATTATTCTTGCTTAATGATTGCCTTCATGGATGTTTTTGTCGCAATTCTCAAAATCAGATTGACATAATTGATGGATGCATAGCAACCCATAATTTTATGATTATTATTTGCATAATTCTCTGCTGATCCGAATCAAAATAAAAGATTCCTAAGACCGGGGACCGGCGAAGACCGCAATTGAAGGGTCTCGCTCGAAGCCGGACGCACACAATAGGAAGGGATTTGCATTATTTAATTTATTTTATTTATTGCAATCGCATACAAAATCCTGCGTGACAATCTGCTGGCTTTCCGGTCGCCCGAAGTGACTCGGCTGGGAAAAAGTGCGACACCGCATCAATGTTCTGGAGATAGATGTGGGAACACTCAAGACGGGGGCACAACAGCTGCAACAACAAGTTTGCGCAGCATCCGGTCCTGGCACAACGACACGCGAAAGCATCGTCAAATTCGATGGGCTCCCGATCTTCTGTGACGCATCGAAGACCGATTCCATACAATGGTGGCGCCAGTTCGAAGTCAAGCTGGACCTCCACCACGTCGTTGACGCGAACCGAAATGCATATTTGTACTCCCCCTTGGGAGGAGCGTGTCAGTCGTGGTTGGACAACATGCTGTCCACACACGCATGTCCAGTCACCGAGTTACACAAGTACATCACCTGGGCGGACCTCACGACGGCTTGGAAGAAGAGTTTCCAAGTAGAACTGCCTGAGCACCTTGCGATGGACAAGCTGCTGACATTTGCACAAAACAACATGCCAAGTAGGGACTGGATATCTGAGTTCCAACGCTTGGCAAGCACGCCCAAGTTGCCAATGAACTTTGACGGCATCAAGCTTTACTTTATCAAGCGGTCGTGCCCAGCGTTGCAGAATGCGTTGACTCACGTCGCCGAGACCCTCACCACAAGTGAGGAACTGTTCAGCAAGGCCGCGCAGATCATCGTGACGAATTTGGCAGCTCGAAATATGGGCCACTCGTCAACTGCCGACCAGGGCGCGCATCAGCATCAGCCGGAAGTGGTCATGGTCGCAGCAGCAACGCCTAGCGACCCTTCAATTTTAGACGAGGCTGTTCCGTCTGACGAGGGAAAGAGACTCGCAGCTGCCCAGAATGGTGGCCGCCCCGCCAAAGGACGAGGACGAGGCAAGACGAAGACGAACACCACTACTTCTTCTAGGCCCGGGCAAACAGCTCAAGAGCAAGGACCTTGGATAGCGTACGAGCTTACGGCACGCGGGTACCGCGTCCGCACCAAGTACCACTATTGTTTGTGGTGCAACAACTCATCACATGAGACAGTGAGTTGTCCCACAAAGGCCAAGGGTACCGCCCAGTCGAAAAAGTGAGCACCGCCGAGAGTGTAGCGACGGCACTCTCGACGCCTACAGAACCGGTTGCCGTATGAGTAACCTCCCTCGGTTCCGGGGCACATGCGGACGTCGTAAGTCCTCACATTCTTCATTCTTTCGAGGACTATGTTGCCCGGCTCGTACCTTCGCTGAATTCAGGAGTCCAAGGACATGATGTATGTGCGGTCTCTTCTCCGATCGGAAGCAGCAGCATTGATTCGTCTTCAAGTGGATCTTCACGGGATTCGGCGCGCGCGTTCAACATTGAGGACTTGGACCCGTTGACGCCCGAGGATTTTGCATGGCTTCCTCTCCCTTCCACCGAGTGCTTACCAGAGCCGCAATGCGCAGCTCTTCGCGCTCATCTTCATACATATCTATCCTTCTATGCACCACCAACATCGCCTACGGAGGACGAGGTCGCGGTGGGGGACATCCTTGCGTATGTTAGCAAGGTGGTCCGTGAGTTTCGCACCCAGCGGTATGACGACAACAACGCACCGCTTCTTTATGTCCGCATCCAAATCGGGCAAGCGTCCTACAACGCTTTGCTGGATAGCAGCGCGACTCGCAACTTCATTAGCCAGTCCTTCTAAAGGGCCGGCCTTGGACCACAAGTTCGAAGGAAGGCACACCCTACGTCGATCAAGTTGGCGGACGGTAGAATGCAACAACTCCTTGATCGTTACATCCAAGCCGTCCCGGTCTATTTCGCACCTCATGCATGCGAAGCGGTGACGTTTGACGTCTTAGACACGGACTTCGACATCATTTTGGGCATGCCTTGGCTTGCGAGTGCGGATCACACGGTCAACTTCCATCGGCGGACACTTACGGTTCGCGACGCGTTCGGCGCCGAAGTTCCATGTACCATTCCTCCTCCGCACCCTTCGATCCGGTGCCAAGTTTTAATGGCCAAATATTTTCGGGCCACTTGCGCTTACGAACGAACCGAAGAGATAGGCTTATGTTTTCTCCGAACCGTCGCGGTAGTCGAAGCTCAACCCACGGACTTGTCTTCAGACCCCCGGGTGGTGCGGTTGCTCGACGAATTCGCCGATGTCTTCGAGTCACCTACCGGCATAGTGCTGGATCGGCCGATCTCACACGAGATCATTCTCGAGGTCGGTGCCTTGTCGCCGAAAGGTTGCATTTATCTCATGAGCAAGGAGGAACTTACAGTACTCCGCGCGCAGCTCGACGACTTGTTGGACAAAGGCTGGATCCGGCCTAGTAGCTCACCCTATGGTGTGCCAGTTCTCTTCGTTCGGAAGAAGAACAAGGACCTTCGCATATGCATCGATTACCGCAAGCTCAATGCGCAGACCGTCAAGAACGCGGGACCTCTTCCTCGTATTGATGACCTTCTGGAGCGCTTGGGCGGCGCGAAATTCTTCTCCAAACTGGATTTGAAGTCGGGATATCATCAGATCTTGATTCGGCCGCAAGATCGCTACAAGATCGCGTTCAAGACACGGTACGGGCACTTCGAGTGGGTCGTCATGCCTTTCGGACTCACCAACGCCCCGACGACTTTTCAAGCGGCAATGACCAACGAGTTCCGCGCAATGCTGGACCGGTTCGTGCTGGTCTACTTGGACGACATCCTCGTCTATAGCCGGACCTTGGAGGAACATCTTGACCATCTTCGACGAGTGTTGGGGACACTCCGGCGCGCCAAGTTCAAAGCTAACCGCGACAAGTGCGAGTTCGTGCGCCAAGAGTTGGAATACTTGGGCCACTTCGTCACTCCACAAGGCATCAGTCCGTTGTCGGACAAGATTCAAGCCGTCCAAGATTGGCCGGAGCCACGGAACGTCACGGATGTCCGATCATTCCTTGGGCTCACCGGCTACTACCAACGTTTCATCAAAGGGTACTTGAAGATCACGGGCCACTTATTCAAGCTTCAATGCAAGGATCAGCCGTTTGACTTCGGGACGGACGCGCGGGAATCATTCTTGGCCCTCAAGGCCGCATTGCTTTCTGCGGAGGTATTGCGGACATACCACCCGCTATTGCCAACGCGCATCACCACAGACGCATCCAGCTATGGCATTGGGGTTGTCTTCGAGCAACATGACGGCGTGGACTGGCACCCAGTCGAATACTTCAGCAAGAAAGTGTCGGTCGTGCACTCCATCGATGATGCACACAAGAAGGAACTTCTCGCCTTCGTCCACGCACTCAAGCGGTGGAGGCACTTCCTCCTTGGTCGACGCCATTTCCGATGGGTAACACACGACAATCCGTTTATCTTCTACAAGTCTGAAGACACCGTCAACAACACCATCGCCCGTTGGATGACCTTCATCGACCAATTGGACTTCTTTCCCGATCACATTCCGGGGAAGTCGAACCGTTTTGCAAATGCTCTTTCAAGGCATCCGGGCCACTGCACCGCGGTCTACTCAACCTTCGAGATCGAGGACGACTTGTGGGACAGCTTCATCCGCGGCTATCAAGCCGACCCCGAGTTTCGTGACAAGTACGCGAATTGTTCCTCTCCCAATCCGACGCCTTCACACTATCGGATCCAAGAGGGATACTTGCTTCTTCACTCGCGGGGGAAGGATCTCCTTTGTGTGCCGCAAGATTCACACTTGCGCACCCGGCTTCTTGGCGAGTTCCACGACGCCCCCGCCACCGGACACTTTGGCATCAATCGCACGATTGGCCGACTACGCGAGCGCTTTTGGTGGCCCGGTCTCCTCGACGACGTCACGCACTATTGCGAGTCATGTGAAGTTTGCCGACGTTGAAAATCTCGCAATCATCGTCCGTATGGCGAACTGCGACCATTACCAGTCCCCTTGCGCCGAAGGGAAGCAATTGCCATGGATATCACCGGGTCGTTCCCCAAGCACAAGATGGGCGTCGATGGGATTCTCACGGTGGTTGACCGCCTCACCAAGTTTGCCATGTTTTTGTCTTGCCGCTATCATGCCAAGGCACCGGAGTTGGCCGAGGTTCTCTACATCGGTTGGATTCAAACCAAGGGTTACCCCAAGGAAATCGTATGCGACCGCGACACTCGGCGCTCATCAAGCGATGGGGCTCTTCCCTCAAGCCGAGTTCGGCTCGCCACCCCCAAACCGATGGCCAAACGGAGAGGGCACATTAGACTGCACAGGTCCTTCACACTCTCATCCGTCCCAACCAAAAGGATTGGGTCGAGCGGCTGCCGGATGTTGAGTTGGCTTACAACTCATTCATCCATCCGGCTATCGGGATGTCGCCCTTTGAGCTCGAGCATGACTCGCCGGTCAATTCTCCGTTGGACGCAATCATCCCACGGGCGGCCGAGAGCGATGACCATCTTCTCTTCATTCGTCGAATGCAAGAGCTTCTTGTCAAGGCACGTGACCAGATGTCGAAGACGCAGCAACGTATGCGCCAACAGGCCAACCGCCAGCATCTTCCTTGTCCGTTCCGCGCAGGCAACCTCGTATGGGTCTCGGCTGCAGAATTCAGCCTCGAACAAGATCTCTCTCGCAAGCTCCTTCCGAAATGGATGGGGCCCTGGCCAATCGTGGCACCCGCTGGGGACGCACCCGAGCGACCTTCATTCGTTATTCAGGTGCCCGCCCACTTGCCCGTCAACCCGGTCTTTCACTGTTCCAAGTTGGCTCTCTACACGCCTGCGGAACTGGATGACTTTCCCAGGCAATGATCGCAAGACCCACCCTCGATGGACGGTTTTCAAGAGGTTGGCGAGATCATAACCCAGCGACGTTACGGCAACAGGCGGACTGAATTTTTGGTCCACTTTGCATATTGCACCCATAGAGCTGACCGATGGCTGACTCGTGCGGAACTTCAGGCAACAGCGCCCGATGCTCTCGCACGCTACGAACAAAAGGTCAAAGTCAAGCCAGCATCTTCGGCCCCACGCCGCACCCGCGTCCAAGTACCGCCTTCAGATCGGCAGCTTCGCCCCCGACCGGCTTGAGTTCATAAGGAGGGGGGGGTGTTACATGCTGAGCCTGTACACGGGCCCCATTTGAGAGGCGCGGCGGTTGCTGAGGGGCCCCCAGGCCGCGTACCATCCAGCACGCGCCCTGGAGGCCCACGGCGGCCCTCTAGGCCCTAGGCAGCACAACAGGTAGGTAGGTTTTCTTTTACTTATCCCTTTTTTGTGTGTGTGCTGTCTCTTTTTTTGTCTGTTCAGGTGCCGTTCCGGACTTGCAGCCCCAAGGCCGGAGCTTGGGACTGGGTACACCGGAGGCAGGCCCGAAACGAGGCCAGACGCAGTTTGGCGCCAAACCGGTAGGTACCGGCGTCGTTTCGGTCCTGCAGGACCCAAGACAATGCCTTGGGCCAGGTGCACCAGTAGGAGGCCGTTTTTAGGCCAGGCGCATTCCTGCGCCATGCTGCATCAGCAGCAGGGTCTGGACGTCCGGTAGGGACCCAGACCACCTGGGCCGTTTTAGGCCACACAGCACCAGGCAGGCCGGGCCGCCCAGCGCTACAAATAGCTGGGCAACGGCTGGGCAAGAACAGTTCGAGTAGCTCACTTCTGAGCGACACGCTGCTGGTTGGAGGCTGCGCTATGCTGCGCTAGGTAGAGTAGGGAGTAGATCGTAGAGGAGATAGGGAGTGGCGGAGCCCATACCTGCAGTCGGCGAGCTTACCTGGCGCCATAGCTGGGCTCCACGCGGTACCTGCACACAGCAACGGACCACAGTCAGTTCGGTGGACAGCTACCTGCAGGTGAGACAACGGACCACAGCAACGGACCACAGTCAGTTCTCTCTCCCTCCTCCATCTCTCTCTCTCCCTCTCTCTCTCTCCCTCTCTCTCTTCTCCCTCCTTCCTCCTCTTTCTCATCTTCTTCTTTGAATCTGAGAGTGTGAGAGGTTATCAGTAGGGATCCAGGCATAGGTTATGTTGGGCGAATTGCCCAGGTTCTGATTCGACATTAATCGACCTTAACCCCGGTTGTGGTTAAGCATCAACGACTGCCCGGCAACTGATACCCTGAGGTGGGCACCAAACCACTGCCCTCAAGGTACCTGTGACGAAAATCAAAGCAGACTATCACTCACCCACACCAGATGAAAAACTCTACAGACTGTATATATAATATATACTTTAGATATATTATTATATTTTTAAATTGGTAAAGAATTTCGATGTGACCCTGAGGCAAAAGTTATCCAGTTTAATTTTCTGCATAACATAGTTTCTTTTCGGATTTTTAAATCAATTTTTTGATTTCTCCCCCCACCCCTTTTTGCCAGTACCTTCTTTGGTCCTTGCACGGCCATGCCACCCGGGCAAACAAGGTAACCCGTGGAGCGCGGCTGGTAGCCTAAACATTTTCGATTTCCGTCGCTGCCATTGCGGTCCGTTCACACTGTTGATCCGAAAACCCTGAAATGTTACATTTTCGATTGAAAACCCCCGAAATGTTACATTTCCGTTTGAAAACCCCGAAATGTTACTTTTTCAATTCTCGACATTGCCTGGAAAAGGTGGAGGTAATTTAACACCGACCTCGCTCAATGTGCCGTCTTGAGAGCTTGCCGAGTGGCATCTCTGATACATTAATCTCAAATTCCAGCATAGCAGCCCTTGCAATGAACCCAGATCGTGAAGATACTTGTCAACAATGCAAGTCCAGATGGTAATCAACCCGCTGATGAATGTCAATAATCATGATCGTTTTCAGTTACAAAGAGATGGGATGGACATACACAGACGAAAGGAGAGAGGAGGGAGAAGAGACTTAGAGGGTGGATAGAATGTATGCCCTCTTCTGCTTCGGGCTCCTCCTCAATCGCCTGCTCTGTAATCAACAATCTGAACGAACATCTGGAGTTCTTCTTCAATGTGCCACATCAGCACGTCAATAAGTCCCTCATCAGCGCTGGAGCAGCATCGACCTCAAGATAAACAGGTACGTATCTCTGATCCTCCCACAGTCATGATCTCCTCCCGAGTACGATGAATCAGAACAGCAGTATCGTCCCAGTTGTAGCCCGCCACGTCAGCAACGTACATACGTGGCAGCGGCCACGTCAGCAGTGGCGCGTGGCAGCTGCCATGTCAGCATACCAAGAAGACAGGTGCAAGCCGGCCAAGATGCCAAGCAAGCAGCGCGTCGCTGTATCCCGCAAGTGCCAGCGTAAGCCAGCGTCCAGCCAGCGTCGCAGCGTCGAGCCAGCGTCGTCGTCAAAGCAGCAAGTCAGCATTGACGCAAGACTGAATGAATGTCAAGGCCAGGGAAGTCAGCTCTTATGTAGTGTTGACTCGGGGTCTGGACCCCGGAGGCTGCATCCCTCAGTCGTCCAGATCTCAATGCGGACGAGGGCTCAGATTATCCGGAAACCGAATCCCCTCCGGCCTGGATGCTATCTGGGTACCTGCACACCACAAGTGAGTGTATGCAACCAAGGGCCTGGGCGTGGTACCTTTGACTCTACAGTTGACTCTGACCTTTGAATTTCCAGTCTGCAGCATTTGGTCACACAGCCAAACACGGCAGACTCAGGCCTGGGCGTGTCCTGGTCACAAGACCCAGTGCAGACCGTTTCTGGTCTGCGTGGCCTGGGGCTAAGTTCTGAGCCCCGGGCTACTTCTGAACAGGGTTACTGCACCCTGCATAGAAGACCCAAAAAGAGATGAAGGAAAGAAAAACAGGACAGCAAATTACTCCATGTTAAACAAAGGGCCAACAACAAGTAGCCAGCTCATGGGGCTGTATGTTACGAAGTACACACATGTAGGTGTCTGTTAGTAATCAGATGGACTATTTGGTCACATGTACCGTCAGGATTTGACAGCGCTTAACAATGCTCTAACCATTTGGTTCATCAACATTTGAATTCTGACGAATCAGCTGTGTACAGCAATGTGACGCATGCTCAGGGGGAGCAATGCGCAGTAGACCAAGGATCCGCAATGTGATGAAAAGGACTGAAATGGACAATGCAGGATCAGCGCAGCATCAACAAGCAATGTACATTCCGATACAGACAAGATGGCACAAAGTGGCACAGCGGAAGACTTAAAGAGAAGGTCTGATCTGACCTGGACTAACCCGACATCCATCACACATCACACATGAGAGAGAGGGAGGAGGGACCACAACCATGGAAGAAAGGTCCCTCCTTCACACACGCACATGGGGAGATACCACAGATGAGAGATGGGGGAGGGATGAGACGAAGGAGGAGGGAGGGGAGGGAGTAGACTAAGATGGCAATGGCGAAGTCCCCAAAATAGTCCCTTGCCGAATGTCCAATCAATGTCTGTCCCAGAAATGTCGAATCAGAACCTGCGCAATGCGCCCAACATAACCTCTGCCTGGATCCCTACTGATAACCTCTCACACTCTCAGATTCAAAGAAGAAGATGAGAAAGAGGAGGAAGGAGTGAGAAGAGAGAGAGGGAGAGAGAGAGAGGGAGAGAGAGAGATGGAGGAGGGAGAGAGAACTGACTGTGGTCCGTTGCTGTGGTCCGTTGTCTCACNTCAGCGCAGCATCAACAAGCAATGTACATTCCGATACAGACAAGATGGCACAAAGTGGCACAGCGGAAGACTTAAAGAGAAGGTCTGATCTGACCTGGACTAACCCGACATCCATCACACATCACACACGAAAGAGAGGGAGGAGGGACCACAACCATGGAAGAAAGGTCCCTCCTTCACACACGCACATGGGGAGATACCACAGATGAGAGATGGAGGAGGGACGAGACGAAGGAGGAGGGAGGCGAGGGAGTAGACTAAGATCGCAATGGCGAAGTCCCCAAAATAGTCCCTTGCCGAATGTCCAATCAATGTCTGTACTTTCAGTGTAATCAGTTAGGGGATTCTGCAGACTGTTGAGGGTG